TGGTCTCTCCCCAGCTGACAGGAGCCCATGGAGGAAGGGAGCTGCTGTGCTCCCTGTCCCTGTGGATTGCGGGTCTCCTCCCATGGCAGAGCCAGAGTGACCCTCAGGACGCAGCCAGGGACACCAGGGACCTGCCTGGGAGCATGTCCCACACTGCAGCCCTGCGCAGAGAGCCAGGGCTGCCGGGGCTGTTGAGTGCCCAGCCTGCGTGGGACTGAGCACGGGTTCACCTCCACCCACCTCCACCCTTTGCTGTTTCTGGGGGCAGGACCACAGGGCAACATGGGGAGCACCCACGGTGGGATGAGTGTGCTTTCCCAGGGATGGGAGCTTCCCTGGCTGCCCCGCTCCCACTGTGGGGAGCGGCTTTGCATGGAGCTGCCTGTGCACTTGAGAAATACCTGCACTTTGGTTCCCACGCTGAACTTTGCTTGTTGTCCCATGGCCAGGAAGGACACAGTGATCTTGTCCTGGCCCAGGATCCTGACCCCCACGTGCCGGTTCAGGGAGATGAAGATGGGGCTCAGTGGCACGTGGGGTCCTGATGGTATGACGCTGTTCGGCCACGTCCACCTTCTCACCCTGCTGCCTGTTTGGTCCAAATACTGCCCGCCATGAATATTCATATTTATCCTAAAAGAGAGGAAGATCCAAGCTCAGAGCCTTGCAGCTCCCGCAGCCCATGTCCCTCATTCCCCAGAGGGACGGGACTGAGCACAGCTAGGTCGAGGTCTAAGCCCCACCTCTCCAGACACAGCTGGGGTAGCCTTGCTCCTCTGGAATGCACCCAAAGCAGGGTGCAGTGTCCTTTAATTTTGAATGCTATTAAGATTAAACTTTATGACCTTTGAACTGCAAAATGTGCAGCGGAGAGCAAAACTGCTGTGACCAACTTGAACGTACCACACAGTTCCGTTCGGATAATAGCAAGTGCTTCTGCCATTGGACTTAAATACTGCTCGTATCTCGGCCTTGGTCGGCTTGTCTTCCCGTACAATGCAAATAAGCCGTTTTTTCTCTCGTACAACGATGATTGCCAGATTTCCAGATGGATAGCTGTCGTCAGATAAGGTGTTCAGAACCCTTGTCTTTGGCTGCTCTATTATTACATGCTAAATATTTCAGAGTGCTACTTTGGAGTGTGAGAACTGACGTATTACCCAGCTCACTCTGGTAAAGGGGAATGGTGGGGTGGTGCCAGTGTTACCTGGGACCCTGCCAACAGCTTTTCTCCTACACCAAAGTATTCTGTAGACACTGACAAAAGAGCAGGTAGGGATACAGAATACATTTTTGTTGTTTTCTACCCAAGAACTCAGGCAGAACCGCTTGGCAAGTTTGCTTTAAAGACATGTTCTTGGACAACGCTTATGATAGAAAGTGCAAGCCTAGCCAAGTGAAGTGATCAAAGTCCTCAGCTTGGATGACAGCAGAGAAAACAGGGACAGGTATTGTTCTCCCAGAGAAAAAAAACCCGAACAACTGGGGGAAAGAAGGCCCTTGCCCCAGAAATCTGACTTGAACGTATCCAAAGAGCGGCTGCTTTGTGTCTCACTGGGGTTTCCCTCCAGCAAGATTTGCTACTGTGAGCACTGCGTTTATGGCACCACCGCCACCAGCAGCGTCCCTGAGACGAAGGCAGCCTGGGGGACAGAGCAGAGAAGGCGTCTCAAGCCCATTTGCTTTGGTGGCAGAGCTCAGGAACACTTTTGTACACCCCTGGGTCAGCAAGAAGTCAGACACAGCAAGGAAAAATAATGTGGGTGACTTAAAATGTTATGGCTCAGATAATGGCAACGGCAGCCTAAAAGCTATGGGGGTCCTCGGTGAAACTGCCACATTTTTACTTCTTCAGACAGTATTCTTAGTTACCCTGGTACTTTTAGTTTGTCAGTGCACCTCTTAGGTACGCCTGCCCCCAGCACAGACGTCAGCCTGGTGCTGGTGGGAAACCTTGTGCTGGTTTGTCCCCAGGGGAAGGACGAGGCCGAGCGCTTTCAGAGCCTGCTTGGCCAGCAGTGCCCTTCCGCGGGTGCTCAGGAGGGCTCTGAACACGGGGCTGGCATGTTTCTTAAGCTGGGCATTAAAGACACAAGTGCCTGTCCTTCATCGAAGCTACTGGCTGAGCTGAAAGACTTCAAAGAGCGAGGTAAGTGGTTTCACTCCTGCTTTTTTCCAGACTGTGGCAGCGAGTGTGAGTGGTGGAGCAGGTTACTTGGTGATAAAGCAGTCTGGGACACACTTAAAATTACAGTTACAATCCTGGACTAACGCAGGCAAATGAATGCCATAAAGGATACAATAACTGCGCCGTTCCATCTGGAAGCATGGTAAGGAATTTCCCTCCGTGTTTGTAGTATTTTTCCAACAACTCATTCTTCACTACCTGAGATTGGAAAAGAAACAATAAAGTGGAGGAGAGCAGCCCTGCACCAGCTGCCCTCTCAAGGCCGGCAGGTGCCAGCCCCGGCTGCCCCGGAGCGTGGGCACGGCCGAGGCGCAGCCCATCGCCGCCCAGCAGCGGCTACTTGCCTTGGCACCCCCAGGGGTGAAATCGCAGCAGGTGATGCTGTAGGAGACGGGCTCCTCCTTGGGCTTTGCTTCCCTCTTAACAGGCACCAGCGTCCAGCCCTTTGGTGATGGGGGCTCCCGAGAAAGCAGGTAGGAAATGGTGGCAGCTTGCTGTGAAGCTAGAGAGCAAAGAGAGGGTTTGTGTGCGTTGGGCAGGGCTGGCAGTGCCGATGTCGGGGCTGCCTGACACCTCTGCAGGGAGGCTGTGACTTGGGGAGTGGGAATTCCTGTCTGAAATGCTCCATCCTGGGAGTCTGTTGTGGGGTATTTTCTATCTAACAAGGACAGTCCAAAGTGTTCAGCTATTTCGGAGAACAGGATCATGAAAAAAGCTGTGGTGTTTTCAATTATGTATCTATACACATCTGTGTGAGTCAAGAATGACTTTTTTTTGGATAGCATTCACAGTTCCGTGCTCTGGAGGACTGACAATCTGAAATCCTTAGTGCTGCAAAAGCCTCAGTGCCCTGCTGTCCTCTGTGCAAATACGCCCATATTGTAAACCTAGTTCATCTGTTCTTAGTCAGAATGCCTTTGATTTTATAGCTAGATCCAAAGGGCTGCTCAGTCACCCACAGCCTGGGCTAGGAAATAGTGGAGTATTCGCCTCATTAGGCAAAACGTTGATCACCCTAATTCTGGCAGTTCCTACCTTCCAAGGGCTTGGCTTTGCCCACTTACTATTCTCTAAAGTCAATTTCTGTGTGTCTCAGCTGAAACATTCAGATATAAATACTGAAAGTCACAGCAAGGAGATGCTCTCCGTGCAATGGGAATGTAACTGCTTTTGTTTTTTCATGTGAGGATTATTTAATATGGCAATATCTAATTAAATGAGATTACACACTTGACAATGAACTAACACGTGGCTGTATAAATCCACCTGTTCAATTAGAGACAAGTAATGACATTGAATTCATTTTTGTAATAAATAGACAAATAAATACATAAGGAAATGCAAACTCACATTCAGCTTTGCTCTCCGGCTCTGCTGCCAGGAAAGCTAACTGTCTGGCCATTTGTCTGTCCCGCTGCCTGGAGAATGAAAACGTTCTGATAACATTTCATATATCCTCTTTTGAAAGCTACAAGTACTAGATATCCTTGCCGTAGGAACACGAGTTTCTGAACCCAGAAAATAACAATTAGAGGCAATGGAGTATCACCAAAATAATATCTCAGCAAAAAGGAAATGCTCCCATGCAGAGATTTCAGTGACCAGACTCTGTGATTGCAATGGCATCAGCTCTACTGACAGCAGAGCTAAATATCGTAATGGATTTTGTATCAAGATTTTATGTAAAAGAGAAGGAGAGCTGCCCACAAGACCAAGAAAACAGCTAATCTCCAAGAATATTTTCACTGTTCTTACCTCGCTTCCTATGTGTCTGACAGTGTCTGACAATGGCTTTGGTTTATGCTCTGTACATAACATGAGGGACTTGCACCATCAGACTGCAAAGGATCTTCAGGGAAACTAATGGTTTACTTCCAAGTATGCTGATTTACTTTTTTCTTTAAGCCTATGCCATGGGCTTAGATATCTGTTTAAACTTTGGGCCTCCTGCTAAACAGCCCAGCAGAAGTCAAACTTGCAGAATTCTCATGACTCTAGAAATTTGAATCCAAATGCATGTCACAGGTTATGCAGCAAAATGCAGAAATAAACACTCAAGCTTTGTTTCAGCACCCGAAGTAAAAGCTAGACCCAAGTGTTATCCCTCCCACAGCTGCAGTTATATTTTTGGCTCTACCTGTCCTAGATATTATGTCTGTCAGCAGTAGAATTAATGCTTTACTTAGCACATACCTCACCACCTTCTAATACAGCCTGATAAGAGAAAAACCAAGGGGGTCCAGGTAGAATGCGAACTTGTGTTGCCTAAAGCAAATGCTTTCCTTCTTCCATTCCCTCTTGCTGCAGTTCCATTTTCTCAGTGGAGCTGCCCATTGTTCCATGCACAGACCTGATCATTCCCCCGTGGTCATTCATGGTACCTCTGGTTCGCTCTCCCCTTTGACAGCAGCCTGTCATCTTTGGTGCCGTGGGATTCACGGGAGCTGACAGCAATGGGAACGCGCTCTTCACGGCTCTTCCTCTCATTGGCAATGAACTCGTAAAGGTCTCTGCTACGCTCGCAGCAGAACTTCTGAAAGGCAGAAGATCGGTGCCATGGGAGAGGTCCTTTCCACACCAGTCCTCTGCTGCTCTTTCCCACCAGTTTACCGATTCGTCATCCTGCCACGGTGGGCAAACGTCTTCGAAGGGAGGGAACGGCTTCAGCAGGCTGCCGCAGTACTCACACCTGGGAGCAGAGTCCTCCTCTGGCTGAAGGGGAGGTGAGGAGAGAACGTGGGGAGGATGGAAATAGGGTATCAGCACACAGAGACTTGGTTTGTCTTGGGGAAAGGGGCTCTGCTCAAAATGCAATGGTACAAAGTGTGTAAGAGCAGTTAAAACAGATCTGTGTCTGTGATCTCTTGGAATGATTTAACTGAAAACATTAGGTTCAGGAAACCACCAAAAAGAAAAGCTGATCTGTAGTAAATAAAAGCCTCAAAGAAATGGAGTGACTGTCATATTTATGAGACCCATTCCTTCCAATAGAAAGCTTCAGAGCACGCAGAACACCACAGCTGAGTACGCCGATGCATTAACCCTTTCACATACATTGCTTGGGGCTTCAAAGAGAAAAAGCTGCACTGCTGACCGGAGGAAAATCTGTGGGGAATTTCATGAGGAACCACCAGCAGATTTGTGGACAAAAGAGCTGAGCATATCTGACCAGATGCCAGCCAGGGCTGCTGCAGGATATAGTTTGAGGATGGGTACAAGATATTCCAAAAGAAATAGCTATTTCTTGAAAACACACTTTCATTCAAATCCCCTTTGGAACATTTTAATTGGAAATACTTGGCTTCTCTGGAGCGTAGCTCCTGGAAATTCCCTTGCTGCCCACCTCATCCCTAGGACCATGCTCTTTGATGATTGCACTCTGCTACAGGTTATGGGGAGCTCTAAGCCCTGCTTGTATTCTTTGACCGTATACCTAGTATTGATATAAATTTTGTATCTGTTTTAGCCAAAGGGCAAAATCTTCTGCTAGGAAATTCTCCACACAGGATGCAGCAGTGGAGAGAGGAGTTGCACAGCCTCTTGTTGTCTAGGTGTTCACAAGCATCCTTTCAACAGCCTCACAAAAGAAAAACCCTTTAATAAAGGAACTTTATTGGAACTAGCTTGGCAAAGGGCACTATTTATTTTTTTCCTACATGGGAATCATGGGAATTAAAATGAACAAAGCAAGCCACCCACCATGGACTCACCTCAATCTGTATGTTTTCTCGTGCCAATTCAGGTCTGTAGGCCAGAAGGGTAGGCAGGCCAACGGAGGGGAGCGTGCCCAGTGCTTTCTCAAACAGCTTCGCAAAATCTTCTTGGAACTCAAAGTGGAAAATACCAAAAGCAACATGGAGTCATATCTGTGTTCAGGGGTAAAACCATAAAGCACAAAATGTACATACGCAGCCTGGGCGTGTCCTTACCTCCATGTCACACAACACATCTAAGCCGCTCAGCTCTTCTGACAGGGCTGCAAGTAATGGTGACAGCAGGAGTTACCGAACAGCAGTGCCGTGTTCTCAGATAGCTCATCTCCTAGACCCTTTTGGTTGGTTCCTTTTTCAGCATGCCAGCCTTTTCTCACCAACCACATCAGCTGCCAGAGTTGGTCCTACGCGTTCAGAAGGGCAGCTCTGGATCTGTGCGTAACCCTTCCCAAACGCCTGAGGGACTGAGCTGGGCACTGACTCTGGATCAGGGATTTACAAAGTCGTCCCACTCAAGTCCTGGAGACAGCTTATTGCTTAGGATCAGTGATTTATAGCACTAATCTAATATTGCATTATCCTCTAGAGCATTTCCAGCCTCTCCTGTCCTAAGAAGAAAGAGTTATAGAGACAACTCAAGTTTTTTCTCCTTTCCAAGTGCAGTCCATGCTGCGTGAGTGCAACTAAGGGTTTTTTGGCCTTTGGGGCAACAGGAAACATCTCAGATGACCTATCACTGTCCTCAGCAGCCTCAGGTTCCCTCTTGGCAGGCAGTGATACCAACATCCAGCTGCGCAGCTGTGTGCTGTACATGGACATCACCTTCTGTTTGAACACAGACACGGCCCGCACACCAGCTGCATGTCCCCTTTCTGTTGGGATGGATCTGCACCCAGCTTTCTTCAGCACTTTCTGTGCTGTGTTTTGTGGCCCAGATCACTCCTCCTGCTCTCAGAGGCTTGTGAGATGCAGGAGACATTCTCCTACAGAGGAGAGCTGTCTGGTGTTGAACGTGAAGCACAAAGGCTGTCTGATGTGCTGCCCCAAAGGGATGGGCTCAGGCAGCAACGACCACTAATGTGCTGTGTGCTGAGGCACAACGCTGCACTTCAGCGGGCAGCTGAAGGAGCTGGTTACTCAGTGACATGCCAGGATGACTCAGCTGAGCAGGAGAAAAAGGCTGATGTATTTAATGGCCTCAAGTTGTGCCAGGGGAGGTTCAGATTGGACATCAGGAAGAATTTATTTACTGAAAGGGTTCTCAGGCATTGGAAGGGGTTGCCCAGGGCAGTGGTGGAGTCCCCATCCCTGGAGGGATTTAAAAGACAGGCAGATGAGGTGCTCAGAGATCTGGTTTAGCAGTGGACAGGTACGGTTGGACTCGATGATCTCAAAGGTCTTTTCCAACCAAACCATTCTATGGTTCTATGATTTCCAGCTCTCCCAAGAGGCTTTGACAGTACCTCTCACGGGAACACAACGTGCTATTTCTACCATGGGCTGAGCACACCTACACCTGCCGGCTGGCAGAGCGCTCCCGCACGCTTAACGGGGACCCGCAGGGTGGTTTAGAAGTGGCTGGGCAGAGAGGTTAACGAGGGGACTGCAGAGGGGGACTGACTGCAGAGGGGGACTGATTGACTGCAGAGAGGGACTGACTGCAGAAGGGGATTGACT